AGAGAGGTCTGCAAAATTGCCCACTTAGGTAAAGCAAGGTAAAGTTTGTATGGCCTCCAAAAATCACAAAACAGCACAGGAGAGGAACCCATCTGTTTTAAAGTTGGGAGAGACAGTAAAAGAGGAGTAGTGTTGGTTCTAAAATAAACTTTAAATTTTCTCTGGCACAGTGGTTATCTAGGCTTGTTTTACCTCACATTTATAACCTGTATGTTCAAAGACTTTAAGCCACTGATATTTTTAAAGTAAAACCCATTCCAAGGCAGTTGAATTTCAAAGCCAAGTATAAATTATATAATTACATATTCCATCCTTAGCTAAACTTGAAATCAGCAAGAGGTGTATGTATTTCCCCCTTATGTATGATCATTCCCTTTTTAAGTTATATACCTAGTTATTAGAAGTAATTCAACTACTCAGACATGACTTTTCTGCTGGGAATTCTCCAGGTCCTATGTACCCCCAAAGATAGTAAATACCTAAAGGGAAGTAGGAAGTGATGGAAACAGGAAGAGGTTCTGCCTAGGCAGAATGGTCAACAGTATCACATACCAGCCTCTGCTATCCCCACCTCCACCCAACTTGCTCTTTAACATCCAACAAACTTGTTTCTGGAAGGGCAGTTTCCTAAACATTTGCTTCAATAAGAGATGATTTATTGCTAAATTATGATTTTAAAGAGGGCGGGGCACAAGTAGGGGATACAACTCAGGCTTATCACTCCAAAGACAAGGATACCCAGAATAAAAACAAGTTGTTTATAAATCCATTTTCCCTGGTTTTATTAAATGTTCCACTTATGTACATTTTAAAGATGAATCATTTACAGGTCTGTGCACACTGCCTCTCGGCTCCCTGGAGGGAAAGTTGCTAAAAACCTCAGGATGGACAAACAACTGTGTAGCCGTGGGCAAGGTGGGCTGGTGGTTTTTTCTTCTCTTTACTGTTATGTCAAAATGCATTTATTTCAGTTTATACCTGAAGTACATACAATAAAAAAAAAAAACCCTCAAACATGCAAATTGTAGAAAAATTGTTTTTTTTCTTTTTCTTCTTCTTTGAAGCTGGCAGTGAAAAATAAAAAGATACAATGTCTCTGTGCACACCCCAGTCTATCTTGTCTCCAGGTTGGGTTCTCTCTAGCTCTAAGGGAAGTGTGGCAAAGCCACAGGGGTATTGGCTACATTTTTTTTTACCTTTAAAAAAAAAATTTTTTTTTTTTTAAGGTTAACCATGGCCTGTATGACTATGCCTCCTGGCTATGGTGCACACAATCTCCTGAGCAGGCTTGGGCTTTTCCTTCTCACCCCAGGACCCCCTATTCATAAAGGAGCTGGCAAGATCCAGACCAGCACACGGGGGAGAGGAAGGGGGATCCCATGCCCCACTGTGTGCCTTAGCCTTCAGTTACTTTGTTTACTCCAAGCTCCCACATCTCTAGACATAAGATAAATCTCTCATCAGGAGAGAGGGAAGGAGCAGAGGGATGAGAGTGGGGAAAGGGAGTCAAGTATTCACAAACAAAAGTGAGAGCTTATTTACTTTCTGTGAAAATTACTTTTAAAAATCCAAAAAACCTTCTGGATAATTAGAGATGGTTTCACGCATTTTTAAAGCCACAATTTTATAACTAGGTCACTGCAGAAACCAACATCTCTGGGGAGGAAAGGAGAAAAAAGGTGGAATTGGGGAGACTAGAGTTTGGTGATTTCTTTTTTTAAATCTTTTTCCCTTTTATGTATAAAAAGTGTTAAGACCACAATGGAAAAAAAGTTTATGTGTGTGTGTGTGTGTGTATATACACATACATACATATATATGTATATACACACACACACACATATATGTATATATATAATATACCAGTTTGTCAGCTACATATTTTTGTCTTTACCATCTTCAGAAATGGTCTCACATTGACAATGGTTAGATAGTATCATGCCCAAAGACATCAGCCGCACAATAAAAAAACTGAACGATGATAGAGTTGAGGTAAGGGGGAACAAACAAACAAAAAAATCATTCACCCATGATGATTTTTTTTCTTTTTCTTGCGTTTCACTGGAAAAATACCAAACACAGTGATATAACTTTTTTTTTCAAAAAGTCATGAAAATCTCTTTTCTGCAGAAGCCGAATGACCTCCGGCCAGCTCCTCAGCTGTTAGTTTCCTAATTCAAAGGGAGGCATGAACCAACAAAGGGGGGGTGGGCAGAAAATGAAAATCCAAAGTCCCTATCCCCTTTGCCTCACTCCCCGCCTTGCCTATGATACTGGCCCTCAGGCTTCCAGCAAATCCAGGTCAGCCTCTTCAAAGCCATAGAAAGACTCTGTCTCGCTTTCACCCTCGAAGAGCTGGTGAAGGCTCTCTGGATCAGGTACCTCTTCAGGGGATGGCCTGGATTGGGGGGTGGAGGCTGCAGGCTCCTCCTCAGTCTGCTCCCCATTCAGCTTCAGCTGCTCCTCCAGAGAGGCGATCAGCTCCTCCTGCATGTCAGCATTACGGGCAGCTGAGTTAGCAGTGCCGTCGGGGCCCGGCAGGACGCTGGCCACCAAGAAGGACTGCTGGACTAACTCTGGGCAGTCCCCGATGACCTCCAGCACCTCTGCCAACCAACAAAGCACCAGCTGAAGGAGGATGTCGGAATCACACGTGCCGTCTGCCATTTCGCGGGCCTGCTCTTTCCACTTCTTGTGTATGAAGTTCTTGACAGTCCTTTTGATACACACGTCCAAAGGCTGGATCTTGGAGCTACACCCTGCGGGCACCACGGCAGGGAGGGTGCTGTAGGAGCTGAGCATAGACAACACCTCCTCGGACAGGTGGCTGCGATGGCAGTCCATCACCAGCATGCCCTTGCTGCGCTGGCACGCCGTGTGCTTCTGCCACACCCGTGATGACCACAGCTCCATGATCTCATCATCACTGTAGCCACTCTCTTTGGCCTCCAGCAGGATAGACTCTGGCACGTTGGCAGGTTGCTCCATCTGCCCCCTATAGAAGACCAGAGTGGGAAGGACCGTGCCATCTGCCAGGATGGACAACACAACATCACACCACGGCTCCCCTGTGCCTACTGTCTGCAGGGCATTCTCTTTCCGATCATCACTGCTCAGCACCTCAGCATCCAGAAACAGGGAGATCTCATCAATGGCCACGATCATGGAAAGAGGCAGGTCTTGGGTATGGATCTGCCGCTGCACAAATTCAATGAAGAGCCCAGCATTTTCTGCCACTTCCTTGGGTAGGGTATGAGCCACTGCCCGCCGGGCATGAGGGGTCAGGTGGTGCCGAAGCATGAACCTCACTGCCCACTCGTAGGAGATCTTGAAACCGCCTTCCAGCGAACGCCCAATTTTGGTGGCCTTCTGGAAAAGTGTTTCTTCATTGACAGGAAGCTGCTGCTCCCGCTGTGTCAGGACCCATTCGGCCAACTTCTCCTCGGCTTCTAAGCTCAGATACTTGCCCTCCAGATTCTCTCCCTGGGAGGCCTGGAAGCGCCGCAGCCAACGCCGAATACGTCGTTGTGGGTTGCGGAAATGCTCGGCTGCCTGTTCAGTATTGCAGCATAAGGCAAACAGTACCACTCGCAGCTTCTTTACTGACAGCTGTTCCTTCTTGCCAGCTCCGCCGAGGCCCCCAGCTGCAGTTGGCTCGGGTTCTGACATAGCGAGGGCCCCTTCCTCTTGCTCATCGAGACTCAGGCACTCGGCTCCCTCCACATGCAGAGGGGCTGCTGCTGGAGTCTGAGGGCAGCTAGAGGCTGATGGAGAGGACAGAAGTGGAGATGTTGCTGAGAGCAGTTGGGCCTGGGGTACAGGCGGCTCCCCGCACTCAGAGGGGGTGCCCACAGGTTTCACAGTGGCAACTTTGTTGTGGGGGAAAGCAGAAGGGTAGGTATTCTTCATGCCCCGGTCATGGGCCTGGCCATGCCTGCAAGAAAAAAGGAGCAAAAAGAAAGTCCTCTTTTGAATAACAGAAGAAATAGGGAGGAAAGGACCAAAATACTCAACACTGAAACAAAGGCACCGAGGAAGGAACTTGGTTACCTGGAGTGGGACAGCCAAGTCAGTCCTGCAAAATGAGAAGGCAAAGGAGACAGTGCAATGAGAAACAGAACTCTCTTCCACTCTAAGATCAGTAACAGCTGAGGTTTTAACCTCAACCATACATACAAAGACAATACTCCTTGATTTAATGCCCCAAACCCCAGGCAGAAACTGAGGCGGGGACAACTGAGGCCAGCTAGAAACACGGCTGCTTTCTCAGTCAGTAGGAGCTCACCATTCTGTCTGATCTTTTCTT